AGTTGATCATGAATCATAAAAGGAAAAGTTTGGGTTTTTTTTCCAACAGTTAAATATTGTTTACTGGATATAGTAATGAATCCAGATAGTCGGACGATTGCTTAGTTGGCTTGTGCATGTGTGCAAGGTATGTTAGGACCCAACATAATAATCCCACAGGGGATAATATTTATTAAGAGAATGATTACTAAAAGACGGTAAAGATATTTTGAGAAAGGAATCATGATATTAGGATCACGCTTTCCTGTATATGCTAAATATGAAAAGAATTTCCAGATAGTTGTTACGTCATACTTGAGATCAGATTTGACCAAAGCAACACATCTCACGTGCGTATGATCATGCCACACAGTTAAGTTTGGGTTTGATTCAAACGTTTATGAGATACAACAACATCAAACAATAATCGTTAATATCTAGCCATCTCATATGGGTTTGGCTCAGCCTATAAATAAGGAACAACAAGGAAATAAGCTTTAACAATTCAAAGGTCCAGGACTAAGTTTTACTAAAACTGCATGATAAACAACATACATACAGTTTCCCCAATTTTAGCAATATCTATCTGGAGATATCTAGAAGTTCTTGCTATGTCTACTTCCAAAAATGTATGCAAGGCAAACTATGTAGGAGGTGCGACAAAGTTTATCTGGTGTAAATCTTGGAATTAGAAGTAGTGGGACTTTTAGAAGTTTCCGAGTGCTGCCAAAAGTGGGAAGTTACATTGATGTTGTTTGTCATGCAGGTTTTAGTGAACATTAGTTGTGTAGTTTTGTTTTCTTAAGCCTATTCTGCTGTTATTCCTGACTGCTATGTTGAGCCTAACATGCATGTTGAAGATTATTGTTTGATGTTTGTGTATTTCATGAACTTTTAAATCAAACTCAAACTTAATTCTGTGGCAAAATCATGACATGTGAATGTGTTGTTTGGGGGGTGAATCTGATCTCAAGTATGAAGGTAACCACTATTTGACACTTATTTTTCATTTTCGAACATGTATATATTGCAGGAAAGTGTGATCATAATCTTAGCATGATCTCTTTTCTCTTTAGTAAAATATATTACCATCTTCTAACCTCTCTCTTTCAAAATATCATCGCCTTGTGTATGTTGGGTTCTAGCATTCCTTTCACACAGTAATATATCAAGAAGCCAATGACGACATATGTTTAGTTCTGGAATTATAGCTTGCACATAGGATCCAGGTTGCAGGAACATGTACTTGAGTTATACAATACAATATGCTCCTTATGACATGACAATCTTGGGAATGTAGGATGCAATCAGGGTACTAAAGAAGTAAATATTTCTTTCAATTAGTGTTCTAAATGTCAAATGTTGGAGTCATGTCGGATAGAAGAATTCCATTATCGGATGACCCATATTGGGAATTTACAATAAATATTGGGATCACATATGATAACATTCTAATGTGTGTACATACTGTAGATGTTCATATTTAAGCATAATAAAGTGGATTGGAATTGTAAAAAAAGACACTATCTTTTTTCATGTTTAACTCTGAAATTATTAGAGAAGTTACTAATGTTTCTAAGGGTATAATGATAGGATTAAACCCATATTGTACGTAAGTTCAACTTATGACTTCTCGACGTCAACTAAGCCAAAGTTTAACATATATTGATCATGAAAGTAAGGGTACAAATTTCATGGTGAGAATTATCGGGAGAGAGATGTTTATTGGCAGTAAATATTTAAGGAAGAGTGTTGGAGACAACAGTCAATGTTAAAGGCATCGTCGGGCGCAGTAAGGCTGTACAACACACAATCCACCTTGTGGCTGTACAACACACAATCCACCTCGTGGCAAATGGGCGGGAAAAGTGCTGTAGAGCTCTTCCAAAGGAATTTATGCTCAATTGAGTCTTACTCTTCCTTTGGTATTTAAACAAGCAGGTATTGATTTAAGTTTAGGTGTCAGTTGAGCCATAAAGCCCTATCTATAAAACAAATAGAAGATCAAACTGATATGAGTGATATCAGAATATTATGTTTGATTTTTTGAGGCCGAAATGTAAAGTTTCAAGAATTAAAGTGATAACATATTGTTTTGCAAACACCTTAAAAATGACATGTTAGGGGAGACTCGAAACAATTCTTATAATACATAGTTATTCTATTATAATCTTTCACTATAGTACGAAACATGAGAATTAATAATAGAGAACACAACTAATTTGGGAATTAATTCCGAGATAAGATAATGATCTAGGACAATGCGTATATAAGATCAAATTCCTCGTAATTAACATTAAGGCATTTTACAAACAAGGATACACTAAAAGATGGGTCCATCATGTCACTCGCTAACAGTTGTTTTTACAAAGATTTGTGTCAGAGGAGTTCCCAAAATGTCTCATGCACACTACTAGTACCGTGCCATGTACATACTAGTTATAACTCTATGCTATGGACAGCGTTTCACTTTTTTCAAACATAATTTGGGACTTCTGAATATGCGTAACACTCTCGACAAGAGAGGAAAATCCAAGATTTTCAAGTATCAAAATTTGCACCGAAGGTAGTTGGATTTTGTACACATGCATCATACACATATCTTTTACAACATTTATATAATATCATACTATTTTCTGAACCAGCGACACATATCGGGTGCACACGACATATGCTTAAATGTCTTGCAAGCTTTGATATGCATGTGCTTATTGTCATCTTTTGTACCACATGGTCTTACTTTATTTGTATAAAAAATCTATTGTAATCAGAAGTTCTGTGCGAGGACTAATTTCCCAAATGTGAAATTTTTGGAATTTAGAAAGTTCCTGGAAGTTCAACAGGAAAAGCTAGATAAATATTAAAGTAAACTTATTTCTTTTCTACGTTAGATAGTCCGTAGCGAAGGAGCCTGTAATTCAGCAATTAAGGCACCATGTATCACGTGATAAGCCTGAGTTAATGTAAATCTATACTAATCTATAAAGAACTTTGTGAGGGAAAGACATAGTGAAGGAATGGGAGATATTTCCTTCAGTTTGTTAAAGTGTAGGAGGTGATTTTGACAAAGACTAGGGGAAATTTTGTCATTCCTAACAATCACTATTCAAATGGCGCCCACCGCCACTCTCTCCATCTCTCTAGGACTTCCAATTTTCACCTGGAACTTCTTATCTCTTCGGAACTTCTTCACCAATATTTTCTTCCATATGAAATGAAATATTTTTGGAACCTCTCTATTATTCACGAAATCATACTAGCAAAAAGGAAATATTTGCTTCTCATTACATATAAATAAATAAAGATTATAGAAAATGCACAAAAATTGTCTTTCCGTCGGTAGATTCACAACTTGAAAATTTTGATTAGTGACATGATAAGAGATACTTTTTTCAGTTGTTAAAATCAACAAAGTTTGTATGTTAGGAATTTCCTTTATAGGGAAAAAAATAACTAGTGTTAGAAATATAAATTTTATGAGTAAATCATGATATTTAACAATGAGCTGTTCATTCATGATTACTTGCCAGAATAAACCACCGATTGTTCTGACTTCCCTATTTTGATTTGTTCGCAAATTTTGCAAAGAATATGCCACTTGTAACTTCAGTTGTTACTTGTTTGGTTAGTTGCTAGAAATGGAATTCTAATGATGTGGGAATATGCAAATCTCTTGTTTCTCCTCTGTCTGTTTCCCAATACAGTTACTATTATTGGGATATAACCTTATGTACTGTAAAAGTAATCAATGGAACCTTCTGAAATTGTCTATAATTTTTTCTTGTAGATAGTAGATTAGCATGCAGTTTCTTATTATTTAATTTAATATTCATCTGCCAATTGCCATTTCGCACGGATAGTTGTTCTTCATCACCAATACTATCCCTATTCATACATGACACATTAAATTATGTTCGAAGCAAGTGCTTGTTCCATATGTTTGTTTGTGAGAAAATGCTGCTCTTCTTTGTTCGGGTACATCAAACTCTACACTGATGCCATAAACTAGCTCTTCTTGGGTAGACTCTAAGATCCACCAATATTACCTTGTGCTTACTGAATGACGATTTGAAAACTATTGATTCGTATCCTGAAGGTTAAAGAAGTGATCTTCATTGTGATTCTTTGATAGACATAAATATAACGTATACAAATGCATATGCTATGGCTGTTGACGTTATCGTAACATATGAACTCAGGACATGCTAATCAGCCTTTCTGAAATTTGCTTACTTCTGTTATTGGAAAATGGTTTTTTTGCTTAATGCATGGTGAATATCTTTAAATTGCATGATTGCTTACTTGTAGAAAAGTCATGAATGTTCAAGATGATTGGAGTATTTTATGCTTATTGATCGGGTGTTACTATCGGTGTAGACTTTCCTTTTCTTTAATGCTTATAGGTCATGAATGTTCAAGATGATATCAGTAGTTTATGCTTACTGATGGAATGTTATTATTGCATAGAGATTTTCCTTTTTTTTTCTTCAATGCTTATTGATGTACTGCTACTACAGTATAAAGAGTTTTCTTATTTTATTTTATTTTTTAAAATCGCCATGTTCTAGTTTATTATGCAAATTCTTTTCTATGATCTTCATGTTTGAGATCATTCAATTGTTTTATGTTGATTATTACCTTTACATATCATTTCTATCTTGTTGCTGCCCAACTCTATTTCTCACCCAGCTATTAATACATCTGCATCTCACATTAAATCATTTGGTGCTGAATAGTAATGTCTAGGCTTTTCTAAACAATATCAATAGAGTAAATGTAGCCATTTTTTTATATAAATTTACGAATTTTTTATTCAAGACTTAGAATTCTTGAGCTGAAGGTCTATTGGTAAACCATTTTATTTATTATTCGAGTTAATTGCGGACAGACCCCCTGTACTATCACCCAATTATCGATAGAGCCTCTGTAGTTCCATTGTTGCAGATAGATCCCCTGAGTTAATTTTTTTTGATTCTTACCCTCGGGAGGCTTATTTGTCAAAAAACAAATTTTGAGGTTTATTTGTCGAAAAGAGTCGAACACATTCCACTCAGGAGGTCTATCTGAAACAATATAACTAAGGGTGGTTCCCTGCAATTGGATAGTTAAGGCGGGTCTATTCGCAATTAACCCTTGTTAATTTTACATGAGAAAGCACGTGCTATTTAACAATTCTTAATTTTTACATTTTCTTAATTTTTACAGGTTGCATCACAACTAAGGAATTGGGCACCGTAATGCGTTCCCTCGGCCAGAACCCAACGGAAGCAGAGCTCCAGGACATGATAAACGAAGTAGACGCCGATGGCAATGGCACCATCGACTTCCCCGAATTCCTCAACCTGATGGCTCGCAAAATGAAGGACACCGACTCCGAAGAAGAGCTCAAGGAGGCATTCCGAGTTTTCGACAAGGATCAGAATGGTTTCATCTCCGCTGCTGAGCTCCGTCACGTGATGACTAATCTTGGTGAGAAGCTGACTGATGAGGAGGTGGATGAGATGATAAGGGAAGCTGATGTTGATGGTGATGGTCAGATTAATTACGAGGAGTTTGTGAAGGTTATGATGGCAAAGTGAGGGTTGGTCGCGTGTGCTTTGGTTTGGAGATGTTTTCAAGCTAGTTGTTCCGATCAGTTTTAGTTATGAAAATGGGATTTTTCTTCTTGTTGTGTTCTGGCTTTAATTGTGAACGGTTTCTACGAATATGGAATTTTTTACTTTCTGTATGTTTATGTTCTGCCTGTTTTTCCCCCTCTTCTGACTGCTGCGAGATTGTAATAGTGAATGTTCTCCTAAAGATTTATAATTTTGGAGGGATGCATACATTCTAGCTGCTAATTATTTGTTTGATGCTTGAATGCTGTCATAATATGGACGGAAACGGAACTTGTATTTGCAATGAGCTGTGGGTATTATTAGCCTTCACGTTTGGGGGATTTTTTTGATTACAGGGAAGAATAAAAAATACTTATTAAAAGTTTTTAACTCTTTTCCCTCAGAATCCCTCGGCCGGTAAATTAATGGGGAAAGCAACAACAAACTGAGCTGTTCCAGGAGTTCGAGCGGCTAACGAACATTGAATTCTGAAGCATGGCCAGCCTCAAATGTTCTCTGAAGCATGGGCAGCCTCAAATGTTCTCTACTCTTGAGGACAACGCATCGCACGCCTCGAACGCATTGTGTCAAACTTAGTTTGCACGGTAGCAAACGATCATTGTTTCCAACAATTTATATCATCCGTAAAATCCCCTAATAAACGGTTAATAAGCCAGTCTACAAACTCTTCTCTGTGCTTGCAGCTCTCTCTTAATTGACACGGCATTTACAATTACTCACAACCTTGCAAATGAATCTGCTAGTGTCCTGGGCGTAAGAAAAGACTGGTTTCAATTTATTCGTCAAAAAAGGAAACAGAAAACATGACATACTACGACATCATGTTATTCATGTGCAAGAGGTAAACTAGGCGGCAAGTTTTTGGGCAGAAAATTTACAATGAAAGATTTGCATAGAATGAAAAAATGATAAAAACAGGCAAACAACTCTCACTGGGGGCTTCAGGCTTCCTACCAAAACCTGCTCAAAAAAAAAAAAAAAAAAAAAAAAAAAAGAAGAAGGGAAAAATAAAAGGAAAAATAGATATAAATTTTAAGATGCTGGAACTGGGGAAAACTTCTTTCAATTGAGTAAATGATCTTGCATGTCCTCTTCAGATTTCCAGACAACATCCTTCAGGCCGATCGATAGACTTCTGTAAAACTGTAAAAGGAATAAGAATTCTATTAGGTGTTTACTCTAAAGACATTCCACAAAGCATTGCTTAAGGAAAGGAAAAAAAAAATAGCTTCCTTTTTTAAGCCAAGAAAGAATTAGTTTGGTAAATCAAATAAGCTAGAAAATACCTTTTGGAATTCCAGGGTGTCTCCTTTAGATTTCTTTACCTCAACCATATGGAAAGAGGGGGCCACTTGAAATATCTGCAAAGATTTAAGAATTTTCAGCAAAAAAATAACCTTGAAAAGTAAATACATAAATAATGCTTGTAGTAACATTTCTGCATACTTCAGTCGCAATGTTGAGATTTCCCTTCCTCCCCGCAGTCGAATTCTCCAGCCTCATCTGAAAAAGAGAGAATAGGTAACAATTTAACAAGAAGCTAATATGTGAAAACTGTAGAATGTTTTAAATATGTGAAAACTATAGAATTTTTTAAATCAACTAGTATTCTAAAAGGAATATCCAGTAAATTTTGTAGCATTATACATGACAAACCTTGTAATTTTTCTTCTGAATGTCAAAGCCTAGAGGCTTTGCAGCCTCTTCGATCTTGCTTACGATCTCATTTGCAGGGCATTTCGAGGTAAACCGTGTTTCTCTTTTGTACTCCTGTAATAAATGAAAATACTCAGTATTTCAATAAAAACGTCCTAGTTGAAAGCAAAATTCGCAAACAGCATGTATCATATATTTCAAATTTTCTCCTTAATTTTAGATGCTAACTAAAGAGATACAAAAAGTCACTAGTTGTCACCTGCTCCACGTCGAAAAAGTTGTTAAGGTTTAATCCTTTTGACAATGAAATCAGTTCAAATGCATTCATAGCTGCAGGTTGTTCTTCTTTCTCTTCAACAACATGGTGATCCTGATACACAAAATTAAGATAGGTATGGCTTTAATAAAGAGAAGTTTCCATAAAATAACATTGTCCAAAGTCAGAATTATTACAGTATCTGTAACTGAAGCCCATCTTTCACTCACTTCTGAATCCTCAAAAGCAGCATCGACATCATCCAAATTTGTATCATATTTCTCATCAAATACAGGAGGTTTATAACCTTTCTTGAACCATTGATCCTTCAATATTTCAGAGATAGTAATCCTCTGCCATGGGCAATAGAAATAAAAATGTCAATATGAAAGAAAAAGCCACTGAATATAAAATTTAAACAAGGTGCCAAAATCCATAAATCAACGTATTCATATGTCGATTCTGAAGACGGTTAGAGCAAAATGTGTATAAAATTTCACTAGCCTTTGGCTTTGTATTAAGAATCGTCTTGTAATTTCAAAATTGATAACTTGATATCCAAATGAATTTCTTTTTTAAATTTTATACCTATACCTCAAACTCTATGAATAAGCTATCATGAAAAGTTTTTGAAGTAGATACTAACCGTCATAGGGTTAGGATCTAAAATTCTTTGTATCAATCTCGTTGCTCCAGGAGAAAACCAAGATGGGCATGAAAATTCTGCATTTGAAATCTGCAGATAGAAAGGATGTCAATAAACAAACATATGAATGTAAAGAACATCTATTTTTTTAAGTTAAATATTAATTACCTTTTCATACAATCTCATGAGATTAGAATCATCAAAAGGCAAATAACCAGAAAGCAAGACAAATAGAATAACCCCACAGGACCACAAGTCTGCAGTCGCTCCATCATAACCTCCATCATTAAGAACCTAGCCAAAGAACATACAATAATCATTTTATAATCAAAACTTTAGAAAAATATATTATCAATGTTATAAACATGAGAAAGCTCCTTAACATCTATAAATTAATACCTCAGGAGCAACATAGTTTGGAGTACCACAAGATGTATGAAGTAAGCCATCATCCTGTCAAAAACACCATTCAAATTCTAAGTTCAACTGAAAACTCAAATTGTGAACTCTTATCGATAAATAGTTCATTATTACCTTCACTTGATGAGAAAGCGCACTTAGTCCGAAGTCAGATATTTTGAGATTTCCATATGAGTCGAGTAGTAAATTTTCAGGCTGCAAGCTCACAATAAAAAAGATCAACCAAGTTTTCAAAAAAATACCATAAATTAATTTCCATGAATATAGAAATGTCATACATTTATCTAGTAGTTCACCTTTAAGTCTCGGTGATATACACCTCTGCTATGGCAAAAATCAACTGCATTGATTAACTGCTGAAAATATCTCCTCACTTCATCCTCTTTGATTCGGCCATCCTTCAGTATCAAAAGATTGTTAATTTTTTATTCCAGATTTAAACAGCGACAATTAGCAACTAAAAAAATGTAATAAAATGAGAAAACTTACAATCTTGTCAAAAAGCTCTCCCCCAGTAACATACTCTAGAACAATGAAGATTTTTGTTCTACTTCCCATTACCTGCAAAGATAAGAAAGTTATAAGTTGATATTTCAAGGAATTATATTAGTTGATGACATGATGTTAACTACCTCATGTAGACGAACAACATTTGGATGCTTTATTAACTTCATAGTGGCAATTTCCCGTTTGATCTGCATCACAATATAAAAGTGCCGACAATATTACAGCAAGGATGATAGAGATAGATATTGTGTTCTTGCAAAATGTCAATTAAGTGAATTACGATGAAAGTTTAATGACAACTTCTGTGCACTGTAATGATAAATAATAGAATAATCTATGTTTTGCCAAATTATAACAGATTAAGAAACTAAAGTAAATCCTGCTAGGTGCGAGGTTGACCGGCCACTTTGGAATTTTTGCTAAAACTATTAAAACATATATTATGCTGACATCCAACAATTAACAATGTTGCTTGTAAGAACCTTAACCTGAAAGTTGCTTTGAAGAATTAGTTTAGTACTGTATTCAAGACTTGAACTCCAACAGTATGATGTCAAAGGCAATGGCTAACATAATATAAAATAAGCAACAATAAATTCATAACGACGATTAGTTACCTCCTTAAACTAAACTGCTGACTTATTCAAATATAAACGTCATCCATGTTCAAAAACTAGAATCAAGACTTCAAGAATTATTTTTTATCCCAAGGTTAAGAAATATTCTTAAGAAGTTAGTCTATTGCTATCAATCAAATTAATAAGTAAAAGCACATTGACTTCGGAATAATAGTTGACCAATTGTGATACAAATTAGGTAGATAAAAACTATGAGTTAATTAACTGCACACAGACCCTTGTTGTTTTGCTCCTAGAACCCTTGTAGTTTCATTGTCGCAGATAAACTCCGGAGTTAAATTTTTTTTGAATCTTTTACCCTTGGTCAAATTTTGGCAGATATCGCCTCTAACTGAATTAGTGGGTCTATCTGAAGGTAAAGGTGCCAAAAATATTTAACTCAAGGGTCTAATCTCAAACAAGGAAACTACACGGACAGTAAGTTCAAAACAATAATACTACAGGGGACCTGTGTGCAATTACCTCTAAGAAGAATGATAGCAAACATTAATTTCAGGCTAATGAATAAAGTTAACCAATTGCAATAGTAAAAACTAGATGAATAAAAACTGAAATCATAGTGATATGGAGGAACTCCGAAATTATACAAGATCAAGAAAGTACCTGTTCAACCAATTTGTGCTTAAGAACCTTCTCCTTATCGAGGATTTTGATGGCTACATGTTCCCCCGTTTCGCAATTCCTAGCAAACCTGACCTTCGCGAAAGTCCCTACTCCAATTGTCCGGCCAAGCTCATACTTCCCAACTTTTCGCTTCAATTTTGTTGTGCTCATTTTTGCTCTATTCATGTTGCTGCATCAATTAACACAAGTTAGCACAAGAACATTTTCGCAGATAATGCAATTTAAATGCATTTCACACAAATAGATCACGAGTTCGAAGAATCATAATATGAAGCAAAATGAGAGCTATACTTGTATAGCGATGGCAAATTAGAGAGAGGATCATCAATACAAAACTTCAGCTTTTTGGATCAAAAAGGATTTTTAACAATGAAGACAATATTCAACAGAAAGTTGCTATATCTACCTAAATCACCAAAATTGAAGGCAAAGAAGCAGCCAGAAGAGAAAACAATGGTTATAGAGTGTAAAGAGGAAAGATTCAAATCAAAATAAACCCAGTGATGGCAATATTAACAGAATAAATATCCTAACTTTACAAACTTAAAGTTGATCCCACCTCAAAGACAAGCTTGAATTATATTCCCATTCAAATTTTTCATTAGATTCTCCTCACCCAACTGTCCGTTTATAAGAAAGTTTTTCTTCCTCAAAAAAAATTTTTTTTTTAATAAAAAGAATGCATTTTTGTGCAACAACCATTCATTAAAAAAAACAATTCCTAAAATAAACAGCCAAATGGAAAAGAATAATCCATAGAAACCCCCAACCCATCAATTACGCAACGATCAAAGTACAGTTCTCTGGTTAAATAACTCCCTTCAATCAAATTATAAAATCATATTATATAATTGAGAATGATGACTGGATCAAAGTTGGTAAGGGGAAAAAAAAAACCACGATTCAAAGCTAGAAGAAAACCCAAATCACCAAAAGTTACAACTCCAACAACTAGTGGCAAAAAATCCCCAAAATTAAAAACCCATTTCCAAAATCCCTAAACTAACAAAACCCAATTCAGACCTTATTATCTGAAAATTCAACAAAAACCCACCTCTGTCTTCAAACTCTGAGGAATCTCTCTTTGCCCAGAACAGAGCCTACATGTACTGATAACAAAAGGTATAAATCTGAGAAATCCTCTCTGCTCAGTACTTGACACCAAATGATTTTTAACCGTTGGTACAACAGTATAAAACTCGGGATGAGATGAATGTGAAGAAGGAAAGAAGAGAAAGAGAGAGAGAGAGCGTGGATGAGAGAGGAGAGAGCTGGCTATTTCTTTATATGGGCACGAGCATTTGTTGTTTCCTTTGGGCTACAAAATTTACGAGGAGCAATTTTGGGTGCTGACAAAATCTATCCGCCGTTTGAATTTCGTTTTACTGAGCTGCTGCTTTTGGTCAACTACACAATTATGACCCCTGTGCTTATCATAATTTTTTGAGTTGCACAGGGTAAAAGTAGATTTGGACTAATTTAAGTTTCTTAAATGCTTGATATGTGAAATAGACGACAAACTTTTTTTTTTTTTTTATAAAACAAACAACTCTACAATGCTCCTAAGTGTGGAAAGAAAATCCTACAAAATAATGGTGGATCTGCAAACCACACCTCATATTCATCAACATTCAAACAACTTTGGAGCTCTGATGTAGTCAGGTTGTGTTTAGCAACCAATCAATGTGGGGTTAGGACCGATGTTCATCTACTGTACGTGACACTATGTTTGGGAAATATGAGATTATTATTAATCAAGTTTTCCTTAAGTCAAGAAATGATCAGGTCGTTTGTTGAATAGCATTCCTTTAGTGTAATCTTTGTCTGGATTAGCATGAAATGGGTCAAAATTGATATTGGTTCAGTTTTGAAAGGTTTTAATTAAGCCTATAAGTAACAACCAACAATGTTAAAATAACATTCAACATCAACTTACAAGATTTTTATGTTGTAGGTGATATTAAGATGTTATCAAAATAATACATGTTCAAATTCCACCGAGCACACGTATCGAATAAATTTGAAGACTAAGGTATTATTACTTAAATTTTCTTACATTTCAATCCGTAGTTATAAAAAAAACATTAATGTTGCCAAGTTTTAAGTGAACGGATTAGAATTTAAAACTTTTGATTGAGTTGAAGAGATTCTAAAGGTTGAGTAAGTTTTCTCTTGTAACTCTTTATAACCAAGGTTGAGTAAGTTCTAGCCACCTTTTGAAAAAAATTAACCAAGGTTGTACTCTATAGTGTCCTTTTGATGGTGGTCCCTCTGAGAACACTGTTATCCACATGCTCATCTTCTGTTTGTTTCCCCTCCCCGAATCTGATTTCTCCTTGGATCTGAGTTTTCTATGTCTAGGATTCCTAAAATTGAGTTTGTTGCGCAAAAGTTAAATTAGCTGATGAGATCTTAAAATTTTAATTAAATCCTAAGTGGAAGATAAACGCAGTGATGTCTTTATCAATTGTAACTGCCTACCTAAATATACACCCCACAATAACGTATTATTATGGAATGTTTTAACAAGTGTAAGGAATGATACTCCCATGTTCCCCGATTTGGTAATTGTTGCTTGGCATATCGGGTTTGGTTATTGGTTGGGATAAGTTTAGACTAAGTGGGATAATTGTTCCGATGTAATAATTTTATCCCTTTGGGATATTTTGAATGATGTAAAGTGAGACAATTTAGCATAATGAGACAATTTAAAACTTTAATTTAATAATCCATGTGGGATAATTGATGATGTCGCACCTTATTAAAGTATAATATATATTTATTAATTAAGTCTAAATTAATTTACCAAATTGGTTTAGTATATTATTTGGTATGTTATTTAATAAAATACATTATTTTTCTTTATACTAAAATATAATATATTATATTATAATTACTAATTAATTATAACTATATTTAATGTTATAATTAATATATTATAATAATATGATATATTATATAATAATTGATATAATATACAAACAATATATTTAATATAATATTTCAATAAAATACCATTTAATCAAATATTATAATATTTTGTTTAATTTAATATAATATATTTAAATTATTATATTATTATTAAAAATATAATATTTTATTTTATTTTATGATAATTACTATAATTTAAATAGACTATTTAATATTATAATTATCAAATAATTGATAATATATTTAAAATTATTAATTAATATAATAGAAAATAGTAAATTATTATATAATAAATTATATTATAATATAATGAATATATAATTATATTAAATTTATAAACACTATATTATAATATAATATTTTATATTATAAAAATGTTATAATAATATTTTTTTCTAACTAATAAAATATATATTAAATAATATAAAGTAATATTACAATAATATAATACTAATATTATACTATATAAAATATTATTAACCAATATGTAATAATGATATATAATAATGTTATATTAGATAACATGATCTAATATTTTATTATCTTACGTTATTGTTGATGACTAAGATCAAATAGTCAACTGGATCCGGGCTGGGATCGGTTCCTCCTGAGTCCTCACCGGGACGAGGTAGAGGAGGTTGATGGAGGGGCCACTTCCTTTTATGGCTTTATGCCTGGTTCTTGAATGGGGGGCTGAAGTCCACGCTGCACAGACAAGAAAAACCCATGAGAGGGCGGGGACCGGTTCCCCCGTGGTTCCTCCGACGGTCAAGTTAGTGAAACTCGAATAGGGAAGGGGAATGTCAGGATCCGAGGTGGTTCTTGAGGAGGCAATGTGTCATTCCAGAGGGTCTATGTGAGCTCCTCTGTGTAAACGAAGAACTGTGTGTTCTTTTCCTTTAGAGAGAGAGAGAGAGAGAGAGCTCCAATTAGATTCAGCTCAGCCTCCCCTAGAGGTTAGGAATCTACCTGTATATATCCCCGTCATGGGGATAAATGAGTCACTTCTAGCCAAGCATAGGGACACGGTGGTGAAGTGAGGGCTAAGAGCCGAGTCATCTCTCACTTTACAGGTGTTGGCTGACAACTAGAGGGGAAGTCACTTCGGCATAGGAGAGGGTATCTCCGTATTTTCCGGGAAGTGATTGAGAGCGTGGTAGAAGGCATACTGGCAGGCTGAGTCATCCATTGCTTTACAGGTGTCGGCTGACGACTGGGGGGAAGTCACATCGGCGTGGGAGAGGGTGTCTCCGTATTTTTTGGGGAAGTGATTAAGACCGTGGCAGAAGGCATGTGGGCAGCTGACAAGTCATGGAGACCGTCAGGCAAGAATCTGGATAAGGTTTGTCCGAGGTGGGTCGGGATGCTGACATATGCTCTAAGGGAGAGGCTTGAGGCGGGGTCGCGAATCATCAACTTAGTAGATAGCAGGGAATGTTCATCAAGTCGTCTTCATGAGTTGCCAAATAAGTGGTCGAGTGGACCATTGGTGGGTTGTCTTCGACAATAAGGTCGGTTGATCCCGCCTTTTCATGTCGGCATGAAAGAATGTCGACTTGATGAGTCAACGGGGTCGAGGCCTCTGCTGGGCTTAGGCCACTAAGGTGGTTGAAGCCGGTTTGTCAGGGCTATGATTGTATCATTTTACAAATATCCGTATCTTAGGTGAGTAAACACCATGACTGTTATAATAGAATTTTATAATATAATAAAATTAAGATATATTATATATTATAATATAATAAACATATATTATATATTTAATAAATCTATGCTTCAAAATTATCTCACTTTCCTCGTGATTGTCCCACGGTTAAGAACAGGGTAATTTTTAAAGGTTAGGACAAAAAGTTTGTATAGAAGTGAGATAATTTTGGGAAAAGTAAGGGTAATTTTCCCAATTTCATTGTCCCAATGAATAACACTTTAAAGTGAAATTCTAATCTCATTGTCCTAATAAATAGCACCATAAAAATAAAGTTATAAAAATTATCACACTTACTCCAAAATGACACCAATGAATACAAGACAATTGAATCTGGTTACGATGGTTATGATGTTGGTAAGTGTAATCCACTAGCCTTTTTCATCCTGGTTAATGATTAGTAGGCAATTACGCAATGGAAAATGGCGGATCACTGGTTCAAATCAATCTAACTTCAACATAGCCAAGTAGTGAACAGCAGCCATATATATTTACTAGAGGATTGAGTTTCCTCTTGATGGAAATGAATGTAAATTATGAGAACATGTTACATGTTTAAGTACTAATAGTGCATAGATCCATGCACTATCATGAATAAATGATCATGCCAGGACCATCTGCATGTGACGGTGCAGTGAAAATTCCCAAATTAACTCTCAATAAAAATCATGAACGGTACATAGAACCACACGCACGCTAGCATGTAGGTGGTTCTGAACTTCACTGTGACTGTCACTCATCGCAAAATCTCAGCTCGTCACAAAACCTCAGTTTGCGTTTAGTTCCAATGATTCTATCTATCTGCGATTATCAAATTTAAAGAGTAATAAATGGCACAACACAATTATAGAGATCTTGGGTCTATTTGCAATATCGGCCCTTTAATTATAAAGTAGATGGCTTCTTCAATGTTTCTTAATTAAGCATATCGTAGCTTCTTAATTAGACATATTATGCCTCCTGTTACCATTTGTGGGCAAAATCCAAAGTCTCATTGTTTCATTGAGAAGTCAGAGTCATGATCATAACTTCAACTTTGGAATCGTACATGAAAATGAAAGCATCATTTTTTTTTTGGTTTTTGTTCGAGATGTACAACCGCATGTCCTTTGCTTAGACAGAACAAAGGTAGTCCTCTGTCTCCCTCATAGGCAAATTCTAGGAAGCTTCATCCTGTAATATGTATACGCAAATGCAAAGAGGCATAGATGTGGCTGTTTTTTATTTTTTTTATTTTTTAGTAATAATAATAATAATCCAAATTAGAATACACATAATAGATTGACCACCTCAGAACAGCATGACACCTTAATTCAGAAATCTTATTAATTTATTTTAGAGTATCGTATTTCTTCTCATTAGCTACTCCTATTATATCCCTCTATTTTCTCTATTCTTTTTATGTACATTTTGTATCTATTTCCTCTAGTTAATAGTTTCCTTGAAAACTTCTCTTGATTGCTATAAAAGGACTTTGGTATCATTTGACAAGGATTTAAGGAAGAGACATCAAGAAAAATGGTTAATATATATAGTTAGCTCTATTGCTATCTTGACCAGCTAAATTATTAACCCGTTAAGTATTATTTTTAGTGCTTGAAAATGGCAAAGGATTACGCTAGGACACATTTTTACCAGCGGAGATTGT